TAATAACTTGATTGGAATTATAACCTTGAATTGACAGTTTGATACTTTGAAAATTTTGAGCCAGCCCTACCCCCAAGGGCTGTAGGGTGGGGCTCAAAGGAGTCAGTGTGCTAAAATTTCTTCATTTTCCTTGTTAAGAATCAGAGGTGCTAGTTTCAAATCCTTTTTAGTCTGAAATCTGTATGCTAGATATTGAGTAAGGTGGTTTTATTGTTTTTTGTCACTTTGAATAATATTTCTGTTCATGTTAAAAACAAAATCAACTCTCTGTATAAATATATCAGGTGACCGTTAAGGCCCATGGGCCTCTTGTTTAATGTCCATTTCCTCCCCCTTTTAAGAGAGTTATGTCCCTTTATATATAATCACCTAATTGATTTTAACGAAACTGTGTACAAATAATCATTATCTAAGGGAGTTAAGTCACTTTACTTAAAAGAAAATTCACGGTCTATATGCTTTTAAACTACCGGATCAATTTCAACGAAATTTTGTACTCATGACTACATTGAAAGTGAATGTTGTCTCTTTTAAGGGATTTTGCCCCTTTATTTAGGATCTGTTTTTCAGGTCTGTTTGTGGATGTGTTGTACAAGTGTGTTTGTGTATATTTTATAGGTCTGTTTGTGGATGTGCTGTACAAGTGTGTTTGTGTATATTTTATAGGTCTGTTTGTGGATGTGTTATACAAGTGTGTTTGTGTATATTTTATAGGTCTGTTTGTGGATGTGGGGAACAACTACTCAGTACTGGACCATCCCAATATCTGTTTTGTATACGAGTATGTCGGCTCCAAGGATGCCAAGGTGGAGCACAGTCAATATGTAAGTTCACGAAAAATCAAGAATTATGCATATAGTACTGTGATTTCTTTACTTGCGAATGTTTTTGTAGACAAACCATTTAATTTATGAGTTTAGAGTTTTGATAAGTTGGTGTTGGAATGCATCCATTGATTTATTCATAAAATGTAAAGTGTTGCATGTATTTATTGGCTTTCATTTTGTCCATGTTTTGTATAAATTCACCAGGCAGCTGTATCATTAAATGCCACGCTATTTTCTGTTGTTATGAATCAGTTACTTTGGTGACCAACTTGGTGACACCTGTATTGCTCAGGTACTTCAGGTTGTTATATGTGATATAGACTTTTGTATTTAGTGGACATTTGAGAAAGCATGACTTGTTTTTTCATGTATATAAACATGTACTTCAGGGAGATGAAATGGAACATCGTTCATCAGGGAAGGGTCAGGTAACTGGTGCACTCCTCCTACATTTATCATGTTTACATATACCACCCGCTTTGTCAATAAATTGTTGTCCCTAGCTTAAAGCTTCAAATAAAATTTGAGGTCATTTTATGGCATTTTTACATGATTTAACCAATAATGTAACAATTGTCCCTGTATACAAACAGAAAACACTATATCTTGTATTAAGAAGTTTACAAATAGTAACATTGTATTTGCTTGTACATTTATATATTTTCTAACATCAGATAGAAGTCACAGCCCTTCCAGTTATAACACTTAATATAGGTCGAAGCCTCTTACATAACAACATTTAATATAGGTCACTACTTAATACATTATCAACAAATATAGGTCACAGCTACTACATTTTACCAGTATTATGTTTAACACCAAATAGGTGTCATAGGTATAACACCTTCTTGTTGATATTCTAATCTATGATAAAACTAAATACCGGTATAATATTTTAGCTGGCAAGAAATCCATGACAATAACAGATAAAAGTTACACAATCTGTGGCCAGTGTGACAATCAGATATCTGAGACCTATCAGTAATGTTTTATCTAAATTTTTAAACAGCCTGTTCCTTTATGAACTGGGAAAATATAGATTTATTTTTATTGAAATTTTGAATATATTCCTCATTTTTTTGTCATTTTGGCAAAATAAGGCACTTTTTTGCAAGGGAAACAGCTGTAAAACTGAGCAAAAAAAATCACTATCTATACTAGTGACATTTTCCTGATTGTAAGCTATTTTTTTCCAATTAACCTAATATTTTATATATGAAATTTATGCTTGTCCATGCTTAAGCTTCGTAATATATTAATAACATTATTATAAATATCATATTGCCGTAAGTGCCATGTTTGATGAACTAACATAACAAATTTTGTCTTGAAAATTAAGCCAAATCGAGTCAAAAGTATTGCTTTTCTAGCAAAGGCTGTAACGTCAAACATTCACATGTAGTTCCAGTGTTAAGGTGTTTTTTTCTGCATTGACTAAGGAAGCAGATACTGCAAGACGTATTCTACAGAGTTCTTGTATGACTTTCCTGTTAGAATAGATACAATCAAAAAGTGTGTACCGTAAAACATACATTATTGTATGATAATGTATAACACATGTATCGCTAGTCAACTCACTTATACTATAACGTTGTATTGAACTTAGGTATCAAAGTCATCCCACAATGTTTAGAAGACAATATATAATCATTCATACTTATATAAGTTCGAAGGTTATAGGATAATAATGATGAACAATTCATTTTACATACTTTTAATATTTATTAATGAAAAATACAAGTGCATGGAAATGATATAGACTTATTGTATGATATTGATTCCTTATCTAATTAAACAGGTGTTATGTTTTATCTAATTAAACAGGTGTTATGTTTTATCTAATTAAACAGGTGTTATGTTTTATCTAATGGTGTTGTAAGCTTGTCTTTATGTTCATTGTCAACCCAGTGAGAGTTATGATTGTATTGTTGTCTCTGGAATAAAGTCAGTTAGTAGTATCTTATTACCAGTATTGTTAATGCTCACTATATCAAGCCAGTTAGTAGTATCTCATTACCAATATTGTTAATGCTCACTATATCAAATCAGTTAGTAGTATCTCATTACCAGTATTGTTACTGCTCACTATATCAAGCCAGTTAGTAGTATCTCATTACCAGTATTCTTAATGCTCACTATATCAAGCCAGTTAGTAGTATCTCATTACCAGTATTGTTACTGCTCACTATATCAAGCCAGTTGGTAGTATCTTATTACCTGTATTGTTAATGCTCACTATATCAAGGCAGTTGGTAGTATCTCATTACCAGTATTGTTAATCCTCACTATATCAAGTCAGTTGGTACTATCTTATTACCAGTATTGTTAATGCTCACGATATATATATCAAGTCAGTTAGTAGTATCTCATGACCAGTATTGTTAATGCTCACCATATCAAGTCAGTTAGTAGTATCTCATTACCAATATTGTTAATGCTCACTATATCAAGGCAGTTGGTAGTATCTCATTACCAGTATTGGTAATGCTCACTATATCAAGTCAGTTGGTAGTATCTTATTACCAGTATTGGTAATGCTCACTATATCAAGCCAGTTGGTAGTATCTTATTACCTGTATTGTTAATGCTCACTATATCAAATCAGTTAGTAGTATCTCATTATCAGTATTGTTAATGCTCACTATATCAAGCCAGTTAGTAGTATCTCATTACCAGTATTGTTAATGCTCACTATATCAAGCATGGTGCATAAATTAATAACACACGCTTCAAAGATATTGGCCATGAAGCCTCTAAAGGAAGTTTATATAATACCTGATATATTTGTTGGCAGGTTGTTATGGACCTTGTGACCATATTTCCTGTACTGAGAGACTGGCTAGCGGAGTTCCTACGTCAGAACTGTCAGATGACCGCCTCCGATATAGGTCACAACCTGCTAATAGAACAGGTAAACACATTCGCCTTACAAAATATAGATGTTGTGTTGTAAATTTGTTTCAGCTGCTGAGTTTCTGGCTAAGGGGAGATAACACAGTTTTACACTTTCAGCAGTCATTAAAAATACTTACATCATTTGACAAAATTCATAAATCAGAAGATTATGATGAAGTAACCTGTACTTACCAGATAAGTTGTTTCTTTGTGTTACTTTTAAACTCTGGATCAAGTCTCACCAATACACTGGATGTACCTTGATCTGTAAATATACATTTCAGGTGTTACGGTTACTGCAACACCTGGTGAAGTTTGGGTACTACCTGGATATAGACGATGTCAAACAGCTACTTACTCCACTCCTTAGTCTGCTGGATGGTACACATGATGTGCCTTTCCCCAAGGACAAAGGCAAAGGTAGGTCATCCAAGGTCAACCTTTCCCAAGGACAAAGGTAGATCAATACAAGGTCAACCTTTCCCAAGGACAAAAGTAGATCAGTCCAAAGTCAAACTTTCCCAAGGACAAATATAGATCAGTCCAAGGTCAACCTTTCCCAAGGACAAAGATAGATCAGTCCAAGGTCAACCTTTCCCAAGGACAAAGACAGACCAATACAAGGTCAGCCTTTCCCAAGGACAAAGGTAGATTAATACAAGGTCAACCTTTCCCAAGGACAAAGGTAGATCAAAACAAGGTCAACCTTTCCCAAGGACAAATGTAGATCAGTCCAAGGTCAACCTTTCCCCAGGACAAAGGTAGATCAATACAAGGTCAATCTTTCCCAAGGACAAAGGCAGATCGATACAAAGTCAAACTTTCCTAAGGACAAAGGTAGATCAATACAAGGTCATCCTTTCCCAAGGACAAAGGCAGACCAATACAAGGTCAGCCTTTCCCAAGGACAAAGGTAGATAAGTCCAAGGGTAATCTTTCCAAAGGACAAAAGTAGATCAAACAAAGTCTTCAAAGGTAGGTCAATTCAGGGTCAGAGTAAAGGTAGGTGAAACAAAGTAAACATTTTTAAGGACATAGGTAAAGATTTATCAAAATCAGTTCAATTCTCTATAAAGACAAAGGTTAGGTAGGTCAAAACAGAAACTTTCTCAAAGAAAAAGTATAAACAGATCAACGAAAGTCAACCTTTCTAAAGACAATGGCAAAGGAAGGTCAACCAATGTCATTCTTCCCTAAGAACAAAAGTAGCAGGACAGGACAACTCATGATTTACATGACAGACGAAAGTAGAAAAAAATAAATTCAATGTGAACCTTATCAAAGACACATCTCAAAATAGGACAGAATTAAAACGAAGTTATTTAAAAATTGTTAAGTCCCCAGTATACCATTATACAGGGGAACATTCTAAGTGTTAAAGAGATATTGCAGCAATATTGTGAGTCATATACAACAGATAATGTACCAAGATACACAGTAACTGTTTCCTGTGTGTCATTATAATAGGCTATACCAAGGAGTCTCAGAAGCTTGTGACACAGTACAGAAGTAAGGGCAGGTTTGACAGCAGTAAGGAGAATGAAGCCATTATCAACGCCAAGTATCGGTAAGAAAAAGATAAAGTTTGACGAGATGATTGAAAAGTAAAGTATCACTTCTTATATTGAGAACAAACTTGTACATGATGCAAGTGTACAACAAGTTTCCTTAGTGTTGCTGAGTTATTGCCAAAAAACAAATGATTTACCAAGGGCAGTTTCTGAATTCTGATACTGATCTCTAAATTGGAAGAAATACTTTTAACCACTCAGAATGATTTTTGATATACGATCATTTGTAAATAACATTTTTTAATCATATACTTTCTTCTTAACTTGAAGAGAAGTGTGCCTGTTGTAATATGAGATATATATTTTTCAGTGCCATGGAGGTTTTAGACTTCCTACTCACATTCCAACGGAACCTCAGGCTCAAAGTGAGTATTGACATATGATGTTGGTCTGTCAGTCTGAAAGTAAGTACTAAAATATGACATTGGTTTGTCTGGCTGTTAAGTTAAATTTAATGTTTCCAGTATCTTTCAGTTGTTTGATTCACCCCAGTCTTGTGATTATCAAAAAAAATCAGTATTCTATTTTTTGCCAAAACATTTGTTACATAAATATTCCAGGAATTCTTCTCAGCCCAAATGTGTGAATATTAGTAAATTAAGTAGCCTGTTTGACATTATCTTGTGGTGGTTTACAGGCCTTTGTGACCAAGTTTAAGCAGTGCGAGCAGAACCTAGGCCATCGCACGTTAGAACCTCTGATGTACGAGAGCTTCAACCCACACGACCAATCAAAGTATGTACCCATACTAGCCAGGGAGGCACTTCTAATAATACATTGATTATGGAGTCTTAAAAATAATTATTAGATATGAGGAATGAGGAGGAATGAGGAAAACACTTATGTGCCTCCCTGCCTCCCCCAAACCTCCTTCCTCATTTCCATATTTATTTATATATTTCTATCTCAGAAATTTCATCACTATAATCAAGTATGATTTGAACACTCATTTATTGTTGCACAGAAATTCACCACCAATCGAACATTTCGAACACTCTTTCACTGTAGTATAGAACCAATCACATATAATTTGTTCATGTTTTGTTTCCTACACTTTGCATAATGGTGCACTCTTTCATTTTCTGTCCACTTAAAAATCTTGTTGAATTCTTCTTTGTGTCTCTCGAGATCCTGAACATGCTTCTCACCAAATTAAAAATTATTTTAATTAAGCACTTTTGTTTGTCTGGATTTGATTGCTATATGATAATGCTCCGATACCCAAGTACGCGAGTAAAGTGTCCAGAAGATCAGGGCCCTTGAGTAATTAGGCTACAAGCACCTCTTCGACTCAGATCGAGTGACTTCTTTTATGAAAAATTTGGATCATAAAAATTGTTTTGCCCGACTTTGATATTATTATAATACGGGAATGTATGCAACACTTTTGTGACATCGGAGCATTTTCTAGATCAATGGCTATCTAATAGGCTTATTGGTGCTTCGTTTATTATTTCTTATGTGTTTTTGGACTTCATTTTTTCATGATTGCAGATATTTTAGCAGGGGTCATTAATTATCTTCACAGATATGTGTAAATGATTTTGTTGATGTAAGATTAACAAGAAAAAATCTTATATTCAAATTTCCATTACATTGAAGTAAGGTTAAAGTGTAGTTGATCGCCTGTAGAGTAAAGCCACCCCACTTCTGTTACATCAGTGTGACACAGTCCGGTTGTTTATGCTGCTGCCCGCGGGAGACAGACAAAGTAATGGATCACTCAAACATGGATGAGTAAGATATGCACCAGTGCCGCTGGGTTGTATTTCAGGCTGCTTATTTTATTCAATCAAACGCCCAAATAAACTTAGCAGCATTGAGTTGTTGTGAATTTTTTTCAGTATGTGTAAAGTATGCCCCGTCCTTTCCTGTCTCCATTCCCAGAGTCATCCCAGCTACAGCATCTTAACTCAGTTACATAAAATTTGGGTCGCTCATACATTTACCAACAAAGCCTCTAATTTTGTTAATTGTTTTCCTCTTCATGTAACTGGTAGGTTCACACTGACAGATCTTGGGGAGACAACAGAATGATGATGTAACCAAAACATCAATTCTTCCAATGTAATCAAGATAATTCAGCGGTTTTTTTTTTATGTTTATACAAGTTGTATCCTCTGATAGCTGCTAGGTTTTGTTATGATATTAGAAAATAGTTTTTTAGTATCTTCTGACTTAAAGTCATGTTTGTCATTTCTTAATGAATTTTAGATAGTTTGATCGTCAAAGTTCTGCAGTATGTATACTGTAGTAAAAATGATAATTGTATCACATTTTCCATAAAAGGTAACTCCTTTAGTAATATTCTCCCTGTATATAAGCCCTGCTGTTTACTGATATAAATGCTTCTCTGTACTTTCCTTCTGTTGGCCCTGCTGGTCACTGCTGTAGAGTGGATATTGATGTGTTTGACACTTTGAAGCTATTTATTGAAATGTTTATATCATGGCAGTGCTGCTGTATTATACCAAATATAAGGTTATGTATGTGTGCTGGAAATTTTGCAATTGTGTAAAAAGACACACAAAAACAAAAAACAAAAAAAGCTTTTTAATTTTCATGTTTGTGTCTCCATGCTTTTACTGTCATATATATGATCGATTTTTTTTTACGATTCATCATCTTACAAATAAAGTGGAAAAGAGATAGTTACAAAAAAAAGTGTATATGTAAGAAGCAAATAAAACAAAATATATCCAATTGTGATTTGCAAAACAAGTGTAAATTTCCACTGTGCAAAATGTTTTACTTCTGTTATGGTATACAGCATTTTTCCTGATAATATGCAATGCTTGTTAAAAATATTAGGTTATGTAATGAGAAAAAATGATAGACATTAAGCTTGATTATATCAAATATACCCTTTGATATTGTATATCTTGATGGTTACTGCTTCAATGTACCATTGGATACCAGTACCAACATTATACAATAATACAATCTTACCCAGCTTTAGTATTTATGAAGAATAATCAAATAAAAAAAATTAAAAAAATAGAACTAAGGGAGAGGGGGTGATATAGACTAAGAGCATATCTGAAATTATTTGTGTACTCTGCATAATTCCACAAAACAGATTATGATTTTTTTTTATTTTTTTTTTATTAGAAACTAAAATCATGACAATTCTTTATAATTACATTTGAAAGAAAACAAAAACTTTTATTTATGCAAAAATAATTGTTATTGTTATTGATATTTTTTTTGACGAATAGAGAATATGAATTTTGATCCTTATTCACCAATCAGAAAATAGATTTCAAAAAGCATGCCAATAGTTGTTTTTGAGATTGTGACATTCAACTTAAACCTGAATAATCCAATGATCATATTACCTATAACAGAAACAGCTTCTACATGTATGATATACACAAACAAGCACTTATACCCAAAGCCTGTGCATGCCAAATATAATATAAGTACAGGGAAATAGTAACATTTACACCTTTGCTTGCCTGATATAGACTTTTAAGAAAACCAATATAGGTTTTGCAGAGAAAAGGGTTAATAGAGCTAGTTATTGTACATTGTATATAACTTAAGGAATTTGCCAGTCTTTGTATTGCAGGCTGTTTTGAAGACTTTTCGTTGAGCATGAAGTTTTATTCCAGAATATAACTTTTGACTTTTTTGAAAATGCTGCATTATTGCGTTTGAAATCATTACTGAGCTATAGTATTTTAGTGTTTTGTTTTTTCTGTTTTTGTTTTGATTCAGTGTTGGTACATGTAACAGTAAAATACCACTAATTAGTTTAGAATAAGTAACTATTCATGTAACTCATATACTTAACCTCCCCATTGGAAGATATATATAATTGGTTACATATAATTATCAAGAAACAAGGAATATAGCCTCTATATATATACAGTGGAATATCTCCATTATGGATATAGCTGGGAGTTTGATAATAGGCGATCTTAGCTATATGTTTAAATGTCTTTATGTGTTACAGGAAGGTGGTGCGCCACCAAAAACAGGTGTTGAAGGAGCTCAAAGAGATGGTTGGGTCCTCCTCCATCTTTGATATAGAGAGCACCACCAGCGTCCTCAAGGCAAGTTGTGTATTTCTATTTGAAATGTTCACCTCTAAATATCTTAACAGGGCATAACAGATTGTCATATACTGCTGTATAGTGGTAGTATTTTACGCATCATTAAAATGTCTTTAATTCAACAGTTTTATTTTGCAATTGTTAACTTATAGTTTTCAAAATGAGCGCAAGTTGCTATCCTTTATCATTTTCTGTAATTTATAGTTTTAATTACTTTATACTACCTCCCTTGTTTAAATTATAAAATTATGTGCATAGATAAATTATCTCCCTTGTTTGAATAGTAGTTTCACAAATTTTCTCCCCTGTTCGTATAACTGTCTATCTAGTGAGTTATCTCCCCCTTTTGTATAACCGTCTATACTCGGTGAGTTGTCTCCCCAGTTTGTAACTATCCTAATTTTGCCTCTGTTCCACAGGACTTATCCATGTACAGTTATGACAAGATGGTGACAAAGTCACTGGATATACTCAACAAGCTCTATTCATCCCAGAGTGACATGTTCCAGTTAGCTAGTAAGGCCCAAATCTTACTCACACACGACTCGGCCAAAGTCCATCGTGAGGTCCAGCGCAGTTTACCTGTCCTCCGTCGACTGGCCAAACAGAAGCTCAATGACGAACAGGTCACATTAACAGGAGAAATTCTTGATGAACTAGCAGGGTAGGATATTTCATTATTAATCTGTTGTTGAAGATTTTTTTTATCCTACCATTGTAGATATAATGCAAAAAACACAAAGTAATGTTTGGAATACTTAATACATGCTGTTACTGATAATTTGTATTTGTGTCATGACAAGATTGGAAATTATAATATTGACCTTCTGGTAATAAGTCTTCTGTGATATGTCTGATTGTTTACCAGGTTCTGTCACCTACCAAAGAACCTTGAGGAACCCCACTTTATGAACCAGAACATCCTTGTCAGCCATGGTAAGTACACTTAATATAACAGCACTGGTCACTAAGTCTTTACAGTCGTCTGATGACCTCTCTGGTCACTAAGTCTTTACAGTCGTCTGATGACCTCTCTGGTCACTAAGACTTTACAGTCGTCTAATGACCTTACCGGTCACTAAGTCTTTACAGTCGTCTGATGACCTCTCTTGTCACTAAGTCTTTACAGTCGTCTGGTGACCTCTCTGGTCACTAAGACTTTACAGTCGTCTGATGACCTCTCTGCTCACTAAGTCTTTACAGTCGTCTAATGACCTCTCTTGTCACTAAGTCTTTAAAGGCGTCTGATGACCTCACCGGTCACTAAGTCGACAGTCGTCTGATGACCTCTCTTGTCATTAAGTCTTTACAGTCGTCTGATGTCCTCTCTGGTCACTAAGTCTTTAAAGTCGTCTGATGCCCTCACCGGTCACTAAGTCGACAGTCTTCTGATGACCTCTCTTGTCACTAAGACTTTAAAGTCGTCTGATGACCTCTCTTGTCACTAAGGCTTTACAGTCGTTTGATGACCTCTCTTGTCACTAAGGCTTTACAGTCGTCTGATGACCTCACCGGTCCCTAAGTCGACAGTCGTCTGATGACCTCTCTGCTCACTAAGTCTTTACAGTCGTCTAATGACCTCTCTGGTCACTACGTCTTTACAGTCGTCTGATGACCTCACCGGTGACTAAGTCTTTACAGTCGTCTGACGACCTCTCTGGTCACTAAGTCTTTTCTGTCGTCTGATGGCCTCTCTTGTCACTAAGACTTTACAGTCGTCTAATGACCTTACCGGTCACTAAGACTTTACAGGCGTCTGATGACCTCTCTGGTCACTAAGTCTTTTCTGTCGTCTGATGGCCTCTCTTGTCACTAAGACTTTACAGTCGTCTGATGACCTTTCCGGTCACTAAGTCTTTACAGTCGCCTGATGACCTCTCTGGTCACTAAGTCTGTACAGTCGTCTGATGACCTCTCTTGTCATTAAGTCTTTACAGTCGTCTGATGACCGCTCTGGTCACTAAGTCTTTACAGCCGTCTGATGACCTCTCTTGTCACTAATGATGACCTCTCTGGTCACTAAGTCTTTTCTGTCGTCTGATGGCCTCTCTTGTCACTAAGACTTTAAAGTCGTCTGATGACCTCTCTGGTCGCTAAGTCTTTACAGTCGTCTGATGACCTCTCTTGTCACTAAGTCTTTAAAGTCGTCTGATGACCTCACCGGTCACTAAGTCGACAGTCGTCTGATGACCTCTCTTGTCACTAAGTCTTTACAGTCGTCTGATTACCTCTCTTGTCACTAAGTCTTTACAGTCGGCTGATGACCTCTCTTGTCACTAAGTCTTTAAACTCGTCTGATGACCTCACCGGTCACTAAGTCGACAGTCGTCTGAGGACCTCTCTTGTCACTAAGTCTTTACAGTTGTCTGATGACCTCACCGGTCACTAAGTCTTTACAGTCGTCTGCTGACCTTTCTTGTCACTAAGTCTTTACAGTCGTCTAATGACCTCTCTTGTCACTAATTCTTTACAGTCGTCTAATGACCTCTCTGGTCACTACGTCTTTACAGTCGTCTGATGACCTTACCGGTGACTAAGTCTTTACAGTTGTCTGATGACCTCACCGGTCACTAAGTCTTTACAGTCGTCTGATGACCTTTCTTGTCACTAAGTCTTTACAGTCGTCTAATGACCTCTCTTGTCACTAA